CACCTGGCCTTGAAGTTTTTGATTATCTGTGAAAGTGACCATTTTTTACATGTTTACTAACTTCTGAATTTACTAAAAAGTTGAAAGAGGCATAAGAAGTCTGCTAGACTAAATTCTATTTTAGTTATCACACCTTTGAGGGAAGTATCTTCCAGACTATGCTGTCCCTATCCCTGAGCTGTTCTTTATTACAGGACGTCTCTGACATTGAGTCAAACCTATTCATTTGCAGGACTCCCAGTCATCAATTTCTATTCTTATTCAAAGGCAGTGAAGAGCAAGTCTACTTCCCCTTTTATTATCTGACACATTTCCCTTTGGTTTCCATTTCAAAACATGCTTATAGGAAAGAGATTCATCATCAGAAACCAGGGGAAAGAAATAAGTTAGAAATAAAACAGAAGTTTTCACTATTTCCCCAGTAAGTTTATATAAGGCGGAAGGCACACTTCAAATTAACACTTCTTAAACATATGAAATAGTTAATGGTGTTCTAAGTTCCACATTAGTGTTAGGAGGGAACTGATATTTAGTATTATTTATTAATTGCTGTTGATTACCTAATTATCCTGCCAGTAGATTTCATGTAAGAAATTAAATTAGAAAATAGACAGCTATAAGCAGAGAGATGGAAGGAGGAGAAGGGATTGGGGGGGTCACAGTTTGTGACATACCTTTGTGCTGTGGGACACCATTATAAGAGGGATTTTACCTAACAAATGCAATCAGTACAACCTGGTTCTTTGTACCCTCAATGAATCCCCAACAACAACAACAAAAAATTAGCTGTAAAAAAACACAAAACATTAAAACTTTATTTTAAATTAGTCTGTATATCACATTAAACCCTTGGAAGATTGACGATCTACTTTTGTCCACAATCTGTGGCAAGAACTGTCCCATGTCCACCGATGACAAGAGGAGGCAAATAAAAGTCTGCTCAATTTTTGAAATGCAAGTCTTAAAAATACCCATGCAGCAAACAGTCATTTTGGGGGTGCCATATCCCCTTCGAGTCTGTCTGTTCTGATAATTCTCCAGAGTTTTAGAACTGGCTGCAGGAATGTCGGAACTCCCTGCTCTGAGTGAAAAGACACCGTTTTGTTGTTGCTTCAAGTGGGACTAGCCAATGTAAGTTGGGGTTTTATCACATTCCAGGCATTGCTCTAAAGTCTTTATGTGTTTAATTCATTTCCTTGTCTCTGTAAGCCTAAACCATAGCTTCTATTATCATCCCCAGTTTTCATTTGGAAAACTGAGCGGTGAAGAAGTTAAATCATGTCCCCAAGGTTAATCGACCAGCGATAAGGGAAGCAGGGACCCAACGCAGGTATTCTGGTTCCAGGGTCAGTGTGTTGAGGTGTCGTGTGACAATGTCCAAGACTGTTGATCTCTGAGTCCTCAAGTCCCTGCCGTGTGGACACAGCACTCCAAGCACTGCCACCTCTCTCTGGTGCCTAGAGTGGCTCTCAAGTGCTTGCCACCGTCCTTGTCACTGCATTCCGTAGTCAGAGCCCAGAGAGGGAGGTCAGTGAGAGCCTTTCCTTCTGAGATGGATGCCAAGGCTGCCTGAGTCTCCATGAAGCATTTCTGAGAAAAGGTTTAAAACTCTATGTAAGAGCCGGGTATGGTGGCTCACTCCTGTGATCCCAGTACCAGGGGAGGATAAGGGGCAGGAGGACTGATTGAGGCCAGGAGTTCAAGACCAGCCTGGGCAACATAGTGAGACCTGTCTCCAAAAATAATGTGCTGCATGTGGCGGCACAGGCTGTAGCCTGAGCTACTTGGAGCCTGAGGCGGCTGGATCCCTGGGGCTCAGGAGTCTGAGGCTGTAGTCAACCATGACTGTGCACATCAGTCAGCAGGGCCACAGCTAGAGGGGGACCCCAAAACACAGCCCCGTGGGAGCCTTGCCTCACGTTCTTTACACTCTGTGTCTCTGTCCGTCACATCTCTTGGGAATAGTGTCTCTTTCCAGTTCCCTGTGCGTTTTCTCTCCCGTGAACCTCAGAAGTCTGTGGTGAGGAAGCAGCAGCAGCCTTTGAGTCTGAAGCTGATTTCACAGTCTCACTGTGCACGGGGCAGCCACCTGTCCTGGAGCTTTACCAATGACACCACCCTTCACAGGCGGCCACCTAAGTATCACAGCTCAAGGGGATGCCCGGGAGAGTCTTCTCTACCCTCTGCCCACTTTTCTCCCTCTTGGATAAGACTCTTTAGTGGAGCTGGGCAAGGTCTTTTGTTTCATTCAGAAGACACAACTTACATACCTCTGGGTGAGAGTTGGAAAGCACATGGTCCCCCAAATAAGAAAGAGTTTATGGTGCTTGGGTAAAAGAAAAATAATCAAGGTCTGTTTTTAACTAGTTAAAGGAAGGACCACCTTACTTCTGTTCTTCCCTCAATTTTTGCACCCCAGTTTACATCGACAATTCTTCCATTAAAAAAAAAAAAATGTACTCTCAGCCCAGTAACTGACGGCCTCCCCGCATCACACCCCACCTTCCAGTATCCACCACCAACTTCTCATTGTCAAAGGTCCTTACTGTCTTAGAAAGTCTCTCTGAGGACACCATCATTCTTCATCTTTCTTCTTTTTGGCTTAAAACAACAGCATTTGTTTTTCTCCAGGTCAGAAATATGACCTCAGGCTCACTAGGCTCAATCCAGGTGTCAACGGGCTGCACTCATTTTGGAAGCTCTAGGAGAGAACCTGCCCTTCCCTTCCAGCTGATGCTCCTTCCTCTGTCGTCAAGGCCGGCGGGGGAGAAGCCTGGTTTACTGGTCATGCTGTCTTTTGCTTTTGTAGTCAAAGTTCCTTCTCCAGGGTACACATTCATTGTTGCCCAGAAAGCCCAGGTGGGGCTAAATGTTCTCTTGTTACTCGCGGAAGTGGCACCCTGAGAGGGAGGCCACTGAAGTGGGATTTAGGGGAAATTGCTGAAACTTGCTACTCTAAGTCTTTTGGAAGGCGAAGCTCTCCTAAGAGAAAAAAACAATCTATAATTCTGAATGATTTATGTAGATACTCTCCCAACTCAAGAAAATAGCGATGATTTACCCTCCTCACCCCCTCCTAAATGTGTGCTTTCCTTGATAACTTGGTTCCAGAGAGCACCATATGGAAAAAAAGGGGGAAGTAACCTTACGGCGGTCTTTGTAAACGGTCACCTGACGCCCTTGGCTGGGTGGTCGAGGTTAACATCAAGTTAACTCGGGCAGGTATCGAGCACCTGGAGTGGCCGTGGTGAGAATAGGAGTTCCCCGTACATTGTCTTCCTCCCAAAACCCACAGCCCCAATCTAAGCCATGAAAAAATATCAGACTGACTCCAAATGAGGGACGTTCCTCAATCTGACAAGTCTTCCTAAAACTGTCAAGGTCATGATAAGCAAGACAGTCCAGGAAACTGTCACAGGCCTGAGGGTGCTTACGGAGAGAGACAAGAAAATACAATGTTGATGTTACTGAAGGATGATATGAGAGAAAACTCGTCAAATTCTAATAGAATGTGGCCCTCCGTTAATGGTAAAGTACCAACGCTGATTCCTTTACTGTGGCAAACAGTATGTAGGATGTCAGTAATGGGGAAAGGTTTTGGGGGCTATCCTGAAACTCGCTACTAACTTCTCAGCAACTCTAAAACTTCAAAATGGAAAGTTTATTTATTTATAAAAAGGTAATCAATAAATTTCTATTTGAAGCTATATAAAGAGCATCTGATATTAACTTCGAGAGAGATACATAGACTTTTAACTTGTATTGATATTTTACCCTTGAGTTTTGGTGATATAGTAAAAACAGAGTGGAGGAGAGAAAAGGGGGAATGAACATTTGTTGAATACGATAATGCATCAGGCCCTTCGCTGGGTTTTCATCCATCTTCTCTCCTTTGAAAGCACAGCAACAATCCATTGCACAGCGGAAGATACGAAGGCCAAGTACAGGGGAAATCTCAGGGTCCTACCTCTCCTAAACATGTACCGGCATTGGGAATGAAAGTCAGGGAGGAGACTGATAACTGAAGGACCCCACCCCAAAATGTAGGGAACAGAGGCAGAGGAAGAGAAACCAAGATCCTCACAGTTCTCCACCCTCTGCAAAGACAGACATATTTTCTAGTTATCCTCCCAAGAGACAAATAACTGTTAAGGTTAAAATCTATAAGGCCGGGTGTGGTGGCTCACACCTGTAATCCCAGCCCTCTGGGAGGCTGAGGTGGGTGGATTGCCTGAGCTCATGGGTTAGAGACCAGCCAGAGCAAGAGTGAGACCCTGTCTCTACCAAAAATAGAAAAACTAAGGCAAGAGGAGCCCAAGAGTTAGAGGTTGCTGTGAGCTATGACTCCCCAGTGCGACAGCTTGAGACTCTGTCTCAGAAAAAAAAAAAAAAGGTTAAAATTTATAACAGTAAATATTAAACATATTTGAGATCATTTCCTATTTTCTGATGAGATTATATACAGCTATATAATGATTTTGTTCCCTCTGTCTCATTGATAACACTCTTTTCTGTGCATCCAAGCTAATCTAAAGTTTTCTTATAGATTATATGACAAGCTTTAAGAAATCTGAACTTTTTACATTTGGGGACCATGAGTAAAGATCTATGCCTAATATTGGATAAATAAACTTGAGCATGAAGCACTGATTCTGACTTCTCGCTGACTCTGTGATCTATTCACAGGGGATGGATACAGTGTGTGTGTCTATGAAATTTTTTTTCTGCACAGTATTTTTTTCCCTTCCTAACCTTGTTGCTATGGGAACAGGATCTGCTTAATTAGTCTCTTGGCCTCTCTGGCTGTCCCTCTTTTATATTGACACCTGGCCGGCAGGCTTTTTATTCAAAGATGTGGCTTGATTGGTGTAAACAAATATTACACCTAGCTACATGGAAATAGGAATTTTTTTTTTGTCAAAAATACGTATGTACAGCCAGAAAGTGTCCGTTCATCCTTGTGTTGACATTTTATTTCATCATGAATTATTTTCTTCCAGTGTCAGACCATCGGAAGACATAAATTTAAGTATGAAATATAAGGAAAGACATACCTGTGAGAAAAAAGCACAGAAACATTACTACGATGAAGCTATAAAGAAATCAGGCAGTAAGTAGTGGCTGTTGATAGATTTTCATAATGTTATTGTATATGGATTGGTGTGAATAAGGGAGATAGCTACGTTACAGGGCAGGAATGTTCGTATTCTTTAATAAACATGAAGGCAAGGTCCTGTGATCTCCATTTAACAAAGGGGGAAAGTAAGGCTCCAGGATGCCGGGTGACCTGCCCAAGGCTGCTGGGTGTACAAGTGGCAGAAACAGAAGGTCTAACCAGAAAGTATGTATGTAGTGCCTGCTACGGTTCCCGGAATAAAGACTGCACTAGAATCTTCTCTTCCTTACATGTGTAGGGAATAAAGATAAATACAAACTATTTTGGTGTTCAGGAATTTCAAAGCCACACAAAACCAATGTATTGGTTTAGTTTTTGGCTAACTAGGAAAGAATTATTTTAAAAAGTAAGTGAAGCAGGCTGGGCGAGGTGGCTCATGCCTGTAATCCCAGCACTGTGGGAGGCCCAGGCAGGTGTGGATTGCTTGAGCTCAGGAGTTTGAGACCACCTGAGCAAGAGTGGGACCCCATCTGTACTAAAAATAAGAAAAACTAACTGGGAATTGTGGTGTGCACCTGTAGTCCGAGCTACTTGGGAGGCTGAGGCAAGGGAATCCCCTGAGCACAAGAGTTTGGGGTGGCTGTGAGCTAGGATGCTACAGTACTCTACCCCGGGTGAGGGTGACAGAGTGAGATTCTGCCTCAAACAAACAAACAAGCAAAAAAACAAGTAAGTAAGTAAACGAAGCAAAGGAAAC